AAATCAAATATCCCCTACTTTTTTTGAATAGTATATATACATGTACTTGCACTGGCAGAAAGTCGAAGATTATCTGACGTGACAAAACTGTACACAATAACGCATACCTATTTTAATATATTTAACTAATTTTATGATTTTGGAAAGAACATTTTGAATACAATATACAACATACGTATGATAGCTATACTAGTTGGAATTATGTCTACTAAAGCAAATTGCATTCAACAATCAGGCTAGTGTATTTGCTTCTTCGTCTTCTTGATTATCTATCTTATACTTTTTATATTATACTTTAATTGATAGCTGAGGGGCAGAATAGAATCCACACACATTTAAATATTAATATTTTTCTTTTATTAAAATGAAGAAGCAGTCCAAAATAGATAGGAAAATGACGGGATCTTTAAACAAATAACTTAGAATTGATGGGTTTCTATTTAAAATTTGAGTGTTAAAAAAGTAAAGTGTAAATGACAATGGTAAAAATAACATGAAAGTATATTAAAATCTAAGAAACTGGAAGATAATGTCTAGAATATTAAATCAATTTTACTTGACTGATTCTAATCAAAAAATTAATTAGATTTTCTTTCATTCGTTCCCCCTTAGCACTGAATTGTCTTTATAAAATTAATTTTAAAACTCTTTCCACGTCTCGGTCGCCGATGTGTGCTTCTTTCTGTTAAAAATGGAAACAAAATTAATTGAATTTTGATATTTCACTTGTTATTATGTTTAATATCATATTTCTGTAAGATAGATTAATCATAACTGGCCGTTCAGTTATTGTCAAGGTGTATAAGGAAGAAATCGAAAGTGTGGGATGAGGATGTAATCTATTAAAGATGTCAAATTTAATTTACATCTATGTAAGATAAACGTCAAAGTTCACTCAGACATTTCAGTTACAATAACAATAGTGTACATCAAGAGTAAAATCAAGAAATTCGAGTATCCATGACGCATCTTTTAATGTAAAGAAAGAACTCGCCCCAAAGGACTACTCGGGAAATAATTTCTGGCCCTACTAATCATCGACAAGATCATGTTTTTTTTAAATAGCGCCCAAATTATTACCAAATGTGACGGACAAGAGAGAGAGACGGGGGTTTAACGCCCACTCGACACAAACCAGGTCATTTCGGGACTAACATATGGTTCAATTTATTTCAATAATTCGCTTCCGCGTATGGGTCTATCGAAACCACGACATTATACAGCGTGCACTTGCTAACCATTCGGCCATCTAAACCCGTCTTAGAGGTATGCATATACTACACATATCATATCAAAATAAATGAGTTCATAAAAAAACTTGAAAACATTATTGATAATTGCAATTTTCACAAAAACGGTCCTACTCATCACCGACAAGAACAGGGCGGTTTGGTTTGTCAATAGCACCAAATCTGATTAAAACACAGATCCTATTTCGTTTCGTTTTTTATAGTTTAAAATTTCGTTTTACTTGTCTTCAGTACAGTCATGTAGTGTAGGCCACCGAAAGTATAAAAAACGAAACGAAATATAGATCTGTATTTTAATCAGATTGAATAGTACCCAAAGTATTGTAAAGGACAAGAACAAGATATTCATATTCGACATATCATATCCTTCTATTAACGTTAACACACAACACATGGTAGTGTTTACGATGATGTTAACCTAGGTTGAATTATTTTAATATGACATGCTGACAAGTTTTATGATAGTATGTCATATAAATGAGAAATGAAACCCTTTCCTTCCTTCCACCTGCTGATTATAAAATATTTCACTTCAGTATTTTAATATTCAAATACCAAATTCATTTTATAAATTATTGGCTTTGTTAGAAATAAGTGTTAAATGGATCTATGGTAAATGGAAGAAATCGTCTTTTGTCTCTATTTCAACCTAATTTCGTTTCCTAAAGCCTACTATTTGTTCTTATTTTTTTAAACGAGTTCTTTGCTCAGGACTCTGCTCCCAACATTTTATCTCTATTATAGGGTCATTTGGCTACTTGCTGTCACAATAACGCATTTTCGTGTGGTAGTTTATTTATCAATATAATCATTTAAACTGGTCTATCAGTTGCTTGTTCTGGTTAATACTGATCGCACATGCTATTAACCCACCCCTGCTTTCTAATTATGTATACATATCATCTAACAGCTAGAAATATGAAGCACCATAGCTACAGTGCTAAGGCTATGTGGTACTTCATTTAGATTGCTTGGTCAATTTGTCAACCATAATTTTATTAATGTAATATTATATTAACGATTCGGCCACGAGGCTCACATTAAGGTCCCTAATCACGTTCACTTTAAATCTAATTTACACCCAAAATCAACCATTAGAGCTTTACTCATTTAATTTCTACACCTTTAACTGGCGTTTTTCATTCGAGGGCTTTCAAATTACCATGTTTGAAACGGCTAAGAAGCATTTCATTTATTCTGCTCGTTTTGATTTCTTGTGTAAATTGATCACTAACTGAAAGTTATTAGGTGGACTAATGTTGTCAGAGAACATTGTAAAAATTCAATTTACATCATCAATCCCGGATTAACAGTGCTGGAATACTAATTGTTTGTCTGTCTCTGGTCTCCATCTGCTAGCATCTCTAGGGACCGCCGACATATTTAATTACAGTCACGGATTGAAGGCTTTTTCGCGCTACTCTTACAAAGAAAGGCAACTTTAAACGAGACGGTTTTAACAGTTTTAACCAACGAACTATAAATTATAAAGCCTCGTTCGTTTAGTCTGATTTGGGTTCAGAGTTTGACAACTATGGCCAATTCGCAAATTGTAGTATGCAAATGAGGCTTTTGTTCTAGTCACAAGTAACTCACCCAATACATAGTCTAAACTACGATAATCGCCCAATACATTAATCTTAAAACCGGCGGGTCAGAATTATTGTTATATTTGAACCACAAACAGAATGTTGTTGCTACCATGGTTTTGTTGTTCAAAAAGCTCAGCATGTTTACTCTTTCTGCAAGTTTTGAGTTTTGGGATTTATAGGTAGTTTGTAGTTAAAAGGGTCAGCAATATTTGGAACAAGTATTTAGATGAGGATCTGTGATCACTATCAATAGCAGTATTCAATTATTTCTATTTGTCAGTAGGCCTATATCGGTGCGATATCATTGCCACAAAAGCTAGTTACGTTTTGAATCGGCATAGTACAGTGTTTTTGGAATTTTTATTTATACGTTTTTGCTCTTTTGGGAGTTTTGGGATTCATAACTTTTATTCAAACTGTTCGTTGCTTTGTACTTGTTGTTTTGTTGTCTGTGTAATATAGGGTATTGATGGGTTTGATGTAATAGTATACAACCATGCAATCCGCGGTGGCTCAATGAGTAATGCGATGGCTAGCTCACCCGGTGTTTGCCCAGCAAGATCCCCCTGATTTTTCGCCGTGGTTTTCCCTTGACCGTAGTGAAGGATGTAGGGCCTGACAAGTGCCAATAGTAGTCTTTCGGGTGGAAAGGAAAACTGAGAACCTGTGTATACAATGGAGTGCACGTAAAATAACCCTTAACAGTTGGAATTGGAAATAAAAGAAGGTCGCAACTCCGGTTGTCAAGGCAAAATTTCACTAACAGAACACTGCATGGCCTATGCACGTCTTCATTATACCAGCTGCCGGAGAAAAGTTTGGCGTTACCACGCAACCAACCACCACCCGCCCAGTGGAAACTGCAAAACAGAGATCGTATATTACGTGTATGCCTATTGATAACCTATGTCCACACTGGGAACTAAGACAACTAAGCATGTCATGCCTTGGTCACCACAGCTGCCACTACCTATAGCACACGGTATGAATACTTGTTTTTCCTGACGTGGAAGCTATACTGGATATACCGTCTTCAATAGCCCAGTCGGAGCAGAACAGTAGGACGTTAAACCTTATTTCATATACTGGATATAAAATCGAGTCAATGGCCACCATTAGGCAAGTTGCTTAAATAGTGGGGTTTGGAGAATGGGTGTTATCTATGCAAGTCAAGCGTTCGATCACTGGTCTGTTCGTGATGCAAACTGTGGGTATGTGTATGGAGGCGCGGGGGGCGGGGTGGGGGGGGCGTAACCTCGTCCGACATCTTCGGGTACTCCGGTCGTCTCCCACTTCTAAAGATCAACTGGGATGGATTATACCATTATTATCTTAATCTCGCAACTTACTACCAGGTTAGCATTGAACAATTAGTGTTAAACGATAGGTAATAATTTGATACATTTTAAAGGTAGTTTTTATTTCAAATATTTAATAATGATCTGTAGAAATAACAATACAATACATAGTAGATTTATAATAATTCCTCTTTCGTTTGTAATAATACAAAATTCTCTTATCCTTTATCGGGAGTCTTACTCGTTACCTTTCATTGTCAGAATCCATTTATTTACTTCATTAAATCAAACAAACAATTATTATATTTTTACAAAATGTACAATTTTACAAATAACAATATCCTTCTTCTCACCAGAAGACACAATAATATACAAAATGAATATATAGCACTAAATTCTCGCCACATGAGATAAATATACAACAAAATGTCAAGAATAAACGATTTATCTATCGATAAAGATTACAAAAGTGTACAATTTAAAGCCCTTTGAAAAATTATTCGTTATATTTTCTATGAACATAAATGTGAAAAACGTATTTTCATCGTTAAATATGTAGTTCCTTAGTTGTAAGTTCATTTATTATGAAATATCATGTATACTTCGCTATAAATAAACTCTCACATATCCGAGCATATAAAGTCAATTTGTTAAGCATACATAATTTATGTCCTCGTTTTTGTTAACTATTTAATAACGAAACGATTATCACCAGTTTTTTTAGGTTACCTTTACACGTCTCTTAACACTGTTTAATCACATGCGACAAAAGATAAGATGCACATTGTTTGCCTTTTTACTTTGTAGTAATATATATATATATATATATATATATATATATATATATATATATATATATATATATATATATATATATTTGTGTTTCACTGATTCATTCCTGTTTCTTGACAAGGGCAGTCATCACAATGTCTGGAGGCCAACATTTTACATGAGAAATTATGAAGCGCATCATGAGCTTCTGAAATAAATAAAGTACATTAAACAAAGGACTAATTTGGACAGGTATAGATTTTAAGTATAATAATAATTTGAATAAAATAATAATAATTTGAATAAAATAATAATGATTTGAATAAAATAACAATAATTTGAAAAAAAAGCAATAAAATAACAATCCGAATAAAATAATAAATAGATTAAATAAAACAACATAATTTACCGAGCAAATTAATAATAATGTCGAAGAAATTAACCCTTTTAAAGCTCGTTGAAAACAAATGATTGGAAATGATTATAGAATGGGTTTGACATAAGAATAATTTTAGATAGTTCAAACTAACGGACAGCTTGAAATTGGCAATAACGTGAACTACAGAATAGTATGAACAAATAAACTATTTTGAACTAATGAAAAAACTCATATTTCTGATATAATATGGTTGTTGTTTATTTCTCGCAATGTCTGTGTATATTGCATGTGTTGTCCACGGCTTTGTCTTATGGGTTTTGTTTATGTACGGTGAGGTCATCCTGTACTTACTAATAGTTTAAGTTAATGAATAGTTTGACTAAGTATAAAGAAAACAAACCTTTCAGTTTCTGTTGGAGTGTAAATCGCACTTTCCGTTCTTGATCTAACTCATTCGACAGTGTTTCTGAAATGCAAGAACAATATCAATTTTGTTATTGTATTATATTTGTCATAGAGAACTGAATGAATTTAAATAAAATAAACGCAATAGTAACAAAATAGAAAGACGGGATCGGCTACGCACGGCGAAGGTAAATAAATAAAATGATTCCTACCTCTCACAATTTGTAGCTGTTGTGCCATTTCATCTCTATACGACTTTTCCCTCTTCACTTGTTCTAGATACGTATCTATTATATAAACAAAAACAATCATATATATATTTTTTAAAAAATTTAAATCTAAAATTAAATCAGAACAAACAGACCTAAGATCACTCATGTTTGTTCCTTGGATAATTGTGCATTAATTGACGGACTTAGAATTTCAACATGGCTGCGATGACGTCATACTTAGTGCCTGGTCAATAGAGTGGTGATATATGTTATAATATTTATTACCGGGCGTCAATCAAATTATATGTTCGATAAATTGTAACAAAGAAAAATATATACATATTCACCTTTCATTATTAATACTTCACGCTCCATCCTCTTTTTACGTTCGATTTCTTTTTGTAACTCTCTATATAAAGATTCTGTTCAAGTAAATTGAATTAATAATAAACACATACTAGACTATTATCACTGTTGATTGTTCTTATAGCAATCTACATGTTATTTAGTGTATGTATATTCTCTCTTTCGTGTATTTTATGATTTATAATTCAGTAGAAGTGTCTGACTTGGTAATAAAAAGTAACCATTCGTTACGGATGAGGGAACTCATCTGATATTTCCAGATTTCTACAAATAATTCATGCAGTATGATATATTGCTTTAGCTGGTTTCACATATTGCGTTTCTGATCAATCATCGTGTAATATTATTTGTTGTGTAAAATACATTAATATACTCTTGCAACTCTTGTAGTTGGGTTGGACGATTAGCTACGGTGTCGGGTGAATCTTCGACAAGGTACATTATATCTGTACATTCTATATTAAGAGGCAAATCATATAGTATTCCTCTAGTGGCCTTAGTAAAAATCACATTCCCAGGTAAATGTAGAAATAAATATGAAATCTTACCTTTAGATAATTCACCTGGTATTTTTGCTTCACTTTCTTTATCTGATTGATCTACAAAACAACAAAATATTTGGATAACTGTGGCTGACATTTAATTTACAAAATTAATTACATGGATGAATTAAATTACACTAACAAAGAGCCCAAGGTATAATCCAGGGAGAGACATGTAGCGATTGAGCAGAATAAAAACACAACACAGTTTATTTAAATTGTATTTGTGGGTTCTTTTTATGATATTTTGATTTTTATGGACTCTGAACGATTTTCCGTAGTGTCAAAATTATGTTTCCAATGGCTTCCCATGTCATACAATTAAACCCTTCGGTTTCACCACTGCCCCAAACACTTTCCAGACATTCATGTTAGTAACTACTGAAAATATTTACCAGAGAATCCTGAATCAGCTAAGTGTTGATCCACACTTTTTACTTTTTCTTCATCAACTCTATCAACTTCAGATTCTGTAGAAAGAGTTTATAACATTACATTTAACCCTACTTTAATGAAGTTGTCTTTATTGATGTAATGTATTGATAATATGAATACAACGTTTCTTGCAAAGTTATTATCATCAATTAGATTAACCTAATTATCAATCGTGGTTATGAAGTGGCGAATACTATCAAAATTTGAATATTTTCCAATATAAAATATCTAATTGTATAGTACGATAGTCTCATAAACCTGAACCCACACTCTGCCAGTGAGGATCTAGAAAAACTTGTGTAATCATTAGAATCGAATTCTTACTGGTGAAACAAGACAGCGAAATCGGCTTGTCCACATGTGTTTAATCATTGTATATTCATATTGTAGAGTCACTACATAGGGTAATCACTACAACTGGGTGAAAATGCGCATTGTGAATTTATGTATCGTGTCATACAAAATACGTCATTTATTTAGGATTGGGGAACTATTCATGAAAACTTCAACTACAACATTTTAAGAACATTGATTATTCAATGGCTGAGAACTAAAATCATAGCACAAATTTTTAGATTTCGGTCAGTGAGAGGGTTCATTTTACCAGACAATTATACTGAAAGTTAGTAGAGTGGTTCACCGGGACTATTAGTGAAATCGACTGAGAAAGAATGTATTATATCAATTGGTGTAGGTGACTTCTTTTCATATATATAAATATAGATATATAGCTCTATTTATCCTAACAAAGGTGAACGAAACATCAACTATTCTATTTGCGACCATGACTTAAATGGGGTATACATATTGTTCAGTGATGTTAATTAAGCTAAAAGTTATGCATGTGCGACGAACTTTATCTTAAACATATCATGATTCATTTATTTATTAATATTACTTGGAGTTCATTACTGTATACCTTATTCAGCCTTGTGCAGTCAGTTTTTGTTAATTAGTTTCAGAATATCACTAAGTGGAACGTCTTTAATTAATAGCTCAAATGGTACATGACTTGGTCTGTCCCGAGGGAAGGGTAAAACAATGGGTAGGCATTTTCACATGAATAACTAGTAATCATGTTAATAGAATATTCGTTTTACGTTAAGAAGAATTAAAGAAGCCATTTTACTCAACCTATATTTCCCCTTCATTAAACAAACACTTAAGATTCATATCTCCGTCAACATTGCTAGTTTTAATTATGGCTTTCAAATTTCTTTAGGACCAGTTTCAGTACAATTAATGTTTAAAATAAAACAATTTACAGCCAAGTCTTTCAGTGGTATATAAAACAAAATAGTCTTTTTTTTTAAACGTGAGTGTTGATCTAATGCGCTTAAAGTCGGAGATGTCAATTGTTAGTTAATTTTGTGGTTGATATAAAAGAGCTAAGAAGAACTAAAAATACCTAATTCGGTGTTGTCTGGCATAATTTCATTTTCTTCATCCTGAAATAGATACATAGAAAAATATACATAATAATAATATAAATACACGATCTATAAACGTGAATCAGAGACAACTAAAAAAGCTATTAATTGTTATTGACTAGCATATTTTAATTCTAGATATCTTAATAATTTTTCATTGAAACGTACAGAGCATTTACGTAGTTAATTAATTAATTAATAAATCAATTAATTAAGACAAAGAATCAATATGAACGTATGTAAAGTGCAATTACATAATCAACCATGATAAGCAATGTATTCGAAACGTTCATTGATAAAAGATATTAAACAGACCTTAAATTGTATAAATTGGTAATGCTAATTAATGGTAAGAAAAAGGTATGGTATAGGCCATTTTAATGATTCCCCCTATAAATGACAATAGCACGCATACAAAAAACAAAACAAACAAACAAAAAAAAACACACACACACACACACACACAAAAAAAAAAAAAAAAAAAACCTGCCAAAAATTTAAGAAATATCTAATTTTGATTTAGGTGCTAATGAGCAAATAATTGTCGAAGCAATTGCACTTCCACTGAGTTATAGAAAACATTTAATCTTTTTTCTACCGAAATGGCACGTCAGCACTAATCGGGCTATATTGCGCCAATCAATACGAGACACGAATGATAGATATATCTTTTTAACTGCCGTTGTATTTAATTACTATTATATAGTATATATATTTTTAATAAACAGCCTTAGTAATTTTTTCTAAAGAAAATATGAAACTAAAAAAAAAAAACTCTTTGCGGCCATTTCTATATTATGATTATCTTTTTTATTGATGCGAACAAAAGTAATGTTCTAGCGACATCCGGCGAGGATTTCTTCACAAAGACCTAATCGTTACTTGAAAAGCTTTTATTAAACCCTGGGGCTGGTTAACTGCAACTAAAAGGAAGCTCTTTTGTCATTTACTCATAATTGTTATATATAAAATTATTGCTCGAATAGACAGGAGTTAATTAATATAGTCTTTTCAATTGTTTTGGCATTCTTGTCCAACCTCTGTTAGCTGCTTGGTAAATAAACGGTATAAATTTTTCATTGAGCTTAATTCTCTCGTTAGAATAGTTAGCCTTTGTCTGAATGCGTGTTTTCTCCTCTGGGTATTTCTAACGGTTGTGATAAATGCTATATTATTATCCGTATTCATATCTGTACAGTTATAAACATTGATCATATTCGACTAGGGAATTGAGCGAAATATAATATAAAAAAACAGTCTTTAATCAACTGGAGTTGATTGGATTAGGCGGAGTCGGTACCTAATCATTAAACCTAGTTGCTAATGATACTATCGTCTATATCAAATTTAATCTTACTTAATGAACTGCTAGATCAATGTGTATTATATATTTTTTTTATTATAACGTTGGAATCTTTTAATATAAGTTATTCTCTCCTTTTGGACCAAATGACATCAATTTAATATAATCAGTAAATATATTACGTCACATCAATTGTTGGAATTGGCAAAGTTTGCCTGAAGAAGCTTGATAAAGCGGAAAGTACTCGCAAAAACCTAGCTTTCCTTCCTAAAACAACTTTATTTCTAATATATATATGTAATAAAAACATAATTAAGTTTTTAAAATATATTTAGATGCATACATCTACATACAATCTTTCCTTTATTCATTTATTCATAAAATGGTTGACAAAACAGAAATATTATTCATAAAATGGTTTTCAGAATTAGTAAGGCTTTTGTTCGTTTTCATTGGATTGTCACAAAATAATGAGTCCTTAATTACGGATAATTCTATTTTCAAAAAAATGTCATCATAAGCATCCCTATCAAACAACAATTTATGCGTGCCCGCTTCTGGCAACTTGATGACAATTCTGCGCGATTTTCAAGCATTTTACACAGGGGACCCGATAATATAATACTGCATGCCACGTACATATACGACGTACCCGAAATCACATAACATGGGCATACTATGCGTACTGAGGAAATACCAACCCTTAATTGACAAGTAGAAGTACTTAATATAAATAATGCCTACCTTTGAATTGAGGTGTTTTGATGATTCGTCTTGTTGATCGACTGGAGACTTCGGCTGTTCTTGGGTGATGCTATCGTTCTTTTCTTTCAGATCGCCATCTTCGTCAGAGCTGTAATTATCTTTCTCTATTTCAGATTCATCGGTTACGTCAATTTCTTCATTTTCATGGTCTCCTTCACATTTCAAATCATCAACATCTAATGATCCCGTATCTTCTTCCACTAGTGTTTGTGTATTTCTTCCTACTGGCTTAAACGCTGAGAATCTGTCATGACTCCCGCTATCACTTCCCTCGTCTTCTTTTTTATTTGTGAGTTTATCAACGGAGTGTTTGAAAGGTTGAGCTTCCGACACCATCGGGGGTTTGCCCACGACATTATTGTAAAACCCGTTTCGAAGTCCACCACCACGAGAGAACGCAAGAGTGTTAGCCCAAAATAAATCATAAGCCTGGAAAGGGAGGTTACTCTGAGAACCCCACAAGTTAGAGCTAAGGCTAGCTTTAGCTGTTTCAGGTAGATCTTTAGCATGGGGATAATTAAGTCCAAAATTATTTGTCGAAGGTAGAGGTGAGAATGGATAGGGTTTATTTGGTGGGGAGAACATATTATATGATGGATACTGGTTAGCGTATGGTGTCTTTGATAAATAGGAACCATCATGAGAGGTCTTTAGTTTCTTGGGTTCATCAACGGTACTTTGGGATCTATGTGAGATAGTTATACTGTTTAAAATTCTCTTTCGGCTTCCACCATTAAACATGGCTTTCACATCCTCCCAGGCATACGCGAATTCACCCTTTTCAGCTTCCCTGGTTAACTTTAGATGGCGTCTCCATGAATTGAAGTTAGCAGCATCTGGATGATGATATTTTGAGTTGGGCATACGGTGGTTGTGAAAGATAAATTTGTTTGGGGAACTATACATATTGCAGAAGCTACATTTGATGCATTTTGCTCGGGAACTATTGTATCGCGACGGTTCGAACAATCCAGTACAACCCCACCCACACTCATGCAACACTTCAAACGCAAAATTATCGGGTAGTTTTGGTGGAGTGCTGTCTTCCAGGAATGATTTAACCAGTCGCTCTGCTTCTCTTTTTGTGATCATTCCACATCTTCGGGAGGAAACAGGCATGGCACCCGCTCGTCTTAATATCTCGAGCTGAACTGGAGTGCATTGAACACACGTGATACCCAGTGCAACCCGTCTGTTGTGAATTTCATTATAGCTGTAGGCCTTTAGTAGAGTGTTAGAAATTTGAGCTAAGCACAGTCTCTCTTTATTGTCGATGCGGAGACAAACGATATTAACATTATGAAGATTGACTGTGGTGACTTGGTTCTGTCGAATAGCTGGACTGTTGGAGGTATTGTTACGGCTGAGAGTAGGAACTGACAAGGGTGAAGAGGAAGTCAGTGAAGACGGAGATTTAGAAAGATCATCTAAGATGGGTGTGTTCATTCGATCAGATGACCCTTCAGTTTCCGGTGACATCCTGTCAAGTTTTCCTGAAACTAAAGATGCTATTTATGAATATAAAATATGTTTGACAAAAGGTCATGTGTTTTGTGCTAAAAAATAGAATGTTTGCTGGTTTCAAACATACGTGAACACAAAGATAAATCTTTCTTAGTACCATCTCCAATGGGAACGGTGAACAGAATCAGTAGGTCCAAGATGAGTGTCACCATCTCCAGTGGGAATGATATACAAAAGACGACTGTGACCATAACTATTAAAATTTGTGAAAACATAATGTAAATTGGTCAAAAACATTTAATTATCAAAGTATTAAGTATATTTCCAAAACACCATTTAATTTAATGTGGGGGGGTGGGTGGCTGAATGGTTAGCGTGTGCGCGCTGTATCATAAAGTCTGTCATTGAGTCAACTGGCGTTTTTTCGATTTTCCGGTTGTACGTGACAAGGAGTAGGATCGCCTGTTCAACCTCGTGGGTTTTCTCCGGGTCCTCCGGTTTCCTCCCACTGCTAAAACCCCTACGCGCAAGTAAATTATTGAAATAAAATTAAGCCATATGTTAGTCCCGAAATGACCTAGTTTGTGTCGAGTGGACGTAAAACACCATTTCTCTCTGTGGAAAGATTATTTACTCTAAGTTACATAACTGTGGTATATATATACAGTATACATACATGCTTACGTATATCGAAAGGTTATCATAAGTTAATGTTTAGAATCTTTATTTTCCGCTTCAAAATTCCTCCTCCTAACATATGTGCTCTGGTTATTTGGAGATTTCGAAGCCATTGTTATCATCACCGTAAAGTAATTGAATCAAAGTTCAACACTGTATTTTATTTAACAGTTTTTTGAATTTAAAAAAAAAATGATGACATGGCGGAGTAGTTTTTGAAAATGGGGATTAATTAAATTGTGAGATGGGTCTGGCTCACGTTTTTCCATAGATACCCGCCACGCTTTTTACTTCTCATTTTTAATTACAGGCTTACTCGGGATATTCGAGACATTCACCATATGGTAGGTTATTCTCGATCACCAAGACGGGCTAGGGGAGAGAAACAAACCAGACAATAGCGGTTTGAAAGGATTCTAAAAGTTTTTAAAAAGGTGCTATTTATCAACCTATAACTGGTCTTAGGTGCCTCATGGTGCTTATATATGGATAAATATATTACATAGTCAGTCAATGTAGGACAAGTATTTAATGTTTTACGGATGCAACTTTAAAGTATTCACCTCATTCATTCTATTAGAATTTAGTCATCAATACCGTCCCTGTAAATTGAGACTATATTAGACTTCATTGTTGTAAATGAAATTATCGCCAATAACAGTAAAAACTAATTCCTCTTAAACTGTATAACTCCATTTTATGGAGTAGAATGGAGACCATTCGTATTATTGATGTCGATTTATTCGCATGAATGCACATTAGTCACACTATCAATATAATGATGTTAGATATTGTTAAATCTGGTTAATTCAATGTTTGATTAATTTTGATTATAACGCTAATGTGTTTCTATACAAGACAATCATAATTTAAAAGATACAAAATAATATCGAGCTTAAATGGATAAATCAATAAATTATTTGATTTGTTGGAATTTATGATCTGCTATGTTCCCATTTATAATCAAAATCATTTTGATTTATTTTATTAAAATTTCTTCCCCATGAACCAAATAGTATTATAATACTACCGGGATTATTGTGTTTGTATAAAAATAAAATCAGAATAAACAATTTAGAATAAAAGAAAACTTTATCCAAATGAAATTCTAAACGTCTTTAAGATATATCCATTTATATTTCAATAAATTTGTTTCCCATGGTCATAGTAAACTATGCAATTCAGATCAGTATCTTGTGATATATCTATATATCACCATTGTGTAAGTAACAATAAATATCCATATAGGTTGAAGGGAAACAGAAGATCTTGTCATAGCACGATCGAACATGGAATATAAAAATATGCCGTATATGCATAAACTTAAAATAATGAACCCAAACCCCTTAAGACGACCAAGCACATCCCAAACTTCAACCCCTCCCTACTGATTTTATAAAAAAAAAAATAAAAAAAATTGAACATTGTTTATTTCTAACAATCGTTGCTAACTAATATTTTTTCTACTTTTGTGTAGTAACATTGATGATGGATGATCATCACGTGACTATATCATATCTAATATTCAATAATTATGGTTACAACAATAGCAAGAAAAGGGGGTATTCCTAAGTGACATATGAAGAAAGAAAAACACCAAGTTCAATTATTGATAACAATGATAAAAGCGAAGTTAGGAACCAAGTTGGTTATAAATATTATATACGATACCTTTATGTTATTCCTTGCAAAATAATTAACATAAAAAAGTGACATTTAGTGTCGCTAGCGAAACGAACTAAGACACGCTCTGTAAAAGTTTAGTTTGTGTATGACAGCTATTCAAATGGCACGTGTAAAGATTACAAAAAATACTAGAGACAATAACGGTGCATAACGGTACAGTTACAATGGAATACGCACCTAATAATTAATGTACTTTAGTGGAACACGCATAATAGTACAAATGCAATAAAACAGCACAATTTAGATTGTAATAAAGTTTATTTTGATTATGCTTATTTTAAATAATTAACTAATAAATCACGTGATATAAAAGTAAATGAAAGATAACAGTGGCATATTATTAAATTAATTTATTAGAAAAATGTAAGTAATAATATTTTATGATGATCATCTTTTTTTAAAACATTTGGACTGTGCTATATGCGTCTTATAGCAGTAATTTGTTTATAAATAATTTTAATGATCTTAAAGAACAATGTTTATGTATTCAGTTGCTTATTGTAAATAATTTGTTTATACATAATTTTAATGATCCTAAAGAACAATGTTTATGCATTCAATTGCTTATTTTAAATATTTTGAGTCATAATGTCTAAATGAGTTTAAATCAAGTAATTAGTTTTATTCTTCATGACTCTCTGTCTAACCTTTTAATGGCAAAACTCTTATTTGAAAAAAGGTTCCCGGACTTCATGAGAATGCAATAAACTGTTTAGGATCTTTCCGAACACCATAAAATCATCTTAATTGATAAATCACCGAAATTAAAACGAATAATTCCTTTAAACATGTTTAATAGTGTCAAAAGAAAAGTAATCTGATACAAGTTTTCGGGCATCAATCCTTTTCAATTTTTGTTTTTAAAAATTGAGTCTGGCCTCTTTAATGGCATGCTTAGGCTATGATTATTAAGTATATATTTTTAATTTCAAATGTATGGATAACATAGACAGCTATATGAGAAACAATCATATTATAATACATAGTTGTTCTTCAGGAATTTAAATATCTAAGATTGTAATAGTTCGGAAATTGATTTATGAATTTATTCAATTCATTGTGATTGGTGTCTCTATTATTCTAAGCCATTTCAGGTCTCGTAATTATAATTACAAAATGTCAGACAGCTGATATATTTGTAATAGTGTAAAAAAGTAAATAGTGTATACTCATTTGAATTACATTTAGCCCAAAAAAAAAAATAAAAATAAAAATAAAAAATGATTACCGTGAATGATGTTCATTTAGTAAATGAATGCATCGTCTTAACATATTTAAATGTTTAAAATAAAATATATATACATAATTAGAAACAATATTTTCAGTTAAGTGAAGCGGTTCTGTTGCTCTAGATGACAGACGCATAACCTGTCTCTTGCATGACATGACCCACCGCTACATAAGATTATTCATAGATACTTTCACAAAATCATTGTAAAATTAACATACAATTACTTTTGTCAAATACCCAATTATTGGTAGATGAAAACAGTAAATTAGTCTAATTAGTTCTGCTCGAATTTTTATGTAAGTATAGCCTGTCTCGAGCACGACACTCGTCCTTATATATAGATAAACATGGGTACGTAATACAAATATATATAATTGTAAGCGGTGATAGGTTCACAAGTCAATTATATTTACAAAAAAAGAAATAAAATTTAAAATAAAATTATATTAAAATTTCTCTCCATCCCTCGGGTGCTTAATCATTTTAACTGAGAACCGTCATTCAATTTGTCGGCTTAGTCAGAATTATGCTCTAACTAGATTTGTCGAATTCGTCCTTTGGGCTATTGGTTATAATTATATTTTGGATAAAAGATAACAAATATGATAGCATTTCAAATTAAAAAAAAGAAAAATGAAATAAAAGTACCTTGTAGATCTAATCCTATATGTTCTTCTTTCAACATTGTGATCATTGAAAACTTGATCGTTAAAACTTGAAATCTTCAATTAAAATCTTAAAGTCCAGACTTGAGGCTATCACTAATACAATTACTAAGCTTTATGTAAACTTTTTCTGAGATTTACTCATAATGTATAGAGAAGGAATCTGCACTGTGTTATCCTCTAATACTCACACACAGTCGTCCGAAATGTCATCCATCTCTCGCTCCGTTATCTTTATAAATTTCCATGTGCATAATTAATAACGCTCTGACGATTCCTAAAGCATATGGCAAACGTTTGCATTGTTTTGTTTGGGTCCTCTATGGTTAATTTTCATTGACAGATTCAATCAATCGTAGGAATATTATGATTACAATACACCAGACATTTTACTGGTAGTGGGCGTGTTTACGGCGGATCGATATCTCCAGACGATTTTTCATTGGATGTTGTTAAATATTCCAGTAGTCAGTCAAAGGTCTATGAGGCGGAACTAATAAAATGTTTTAAACAAGAAAAAAAGCCCTTACTACAGGAGGTCTTCGTGATTTTGTCGCCTAATTCAATGTTATAATATGTGATTACATTACTGATGTTAATTGTTTTTTTTTCTTTAAAATATAATCTATGTTATCTTAATTCAATACAGTAAAGAATATTTTGCCATTCTGGGAAGCCTTGACACGAATGGTACATCGCATACCATTTTTTGATCACTAAATGCGGTTGGTATAACATTTTCGAGTCCTGGTAAACAGCTATTCTATTGTCAGAAAATAAAACAGATTGACATTTTGTTTATAGAAGTTTCCTGCACTAACCCGTTCGTGACAAATATGTCATATTTCTTTAAAAAAAAATATGTAAATTCAAAGATGCTTATATATGTGAATGTCCACAAAGTATTTCTCGTGGAGGTTAACGTTCTAATTGGAACATATCTTTATAGCCATCAAAATTGTTTTTTAGTCTCGAAAGAATTAATGTTTTCTAAGTTGTTTATTTTTTCAATAAACAACAATATTTGTGACAGGTATATGGATTATCAAATATCTAAATCCACCCCCTTTCGCCTCCTCAAATTTATACATACATTCAACTTCCGATCTAATAATATATGCATCAGGTATATTCGTCTAATTGAAATTATATAAACATTTCGTTTCGTTATATGTTTCGGTTAGTGGTGTAACAAAAGGAATAAACGAAACGAAAATTACGTTAAGATCTATTTCAAGGCCAACTTCAAGTTTGGTCAAAATCCAATCCTTAGTAGGAAATACACTAATGTGGCTCTCACCCGAGAGCCTCAAATTTATTCTGTTTTCTTCAGAAACAAAAATACCAGAATACCACAAGCGACACCGAAGGAATACCATCAGCGCCACCAAAACCTCCAAAACAGCGAAACCAACTGTGCATATAAATCAAATGTATTGCATGTATTTTTAATAAAACTAGAAAATACCACGAACCAAATTTTCATCATCCTAGTTCAGTGCTTATCTGAAGACTTAACCTCTCCCCCAAATGCTTAAACCTCGCCTACAATCTCGCCAACAATCACGTACCCTAACTTTATTTACATCTCAGCGACCTTGACGAAATCTTGAGTTGGCCTTAATAAATAAATCTAGCCCGAAAATAACATCTATTTGCAATACGACTATCAGTCAATATATCCAAAGGACAATAAAAGACAAAGAAATGAAAATGAAATGAAATGGGATTTAACATCCTACTGTTCTGCTCCTAAACTGGGCTAATGAAAACTGGAATACGTCATACAGTGTGTTATGAGGGAAATTTTGCCCGGGCAGCGGCGCTACGGTGTACGAATTCCAACTGCCAAGGGATCTTTTACGTGCACGCCAATGTGTACACGGGACCCCTCGGTTTTTCGTCCCATCCGAACGACTAGACAGCTGTCATTGTCAGGCGCTCCGTCCTGCATCACTGACAGGGGGAAACCACGCCGGACAATCGGGATGAAGTTTCTCGGCCAATGCAGAAAGACAAAGAAAGAGAAAATCCATGTAGTAAAATATGTATGATACTGGAAAAAGAAATCTTGGTTTCGTGGACTTTTCGTGAAGGGACTGGGAATGTCAACATTACAATATATGGAAGCGGGCAAACAAGAATTCGTATTATACAATATATAAATTATATGCAATACACAAATACTGATTATCAGATGTTTTTAAAAAAAAAGTAAGCATGTCCTGCCCCGTCTATAATACAAATAACTAAAACATATTCTCTCCGTCGTAGCCTACCCGATTTAATGGTTTAGGTAATTATAAGAAGAGGATGTTATGCTTAACTGAAGATTAACAACATCATCTTGTTCAACTCGATGACAATAATCACCATTATAGGTAAAACCCCTGCAGCGACAAATGACTCCAAATCCCCGAAAAATACACAAAACACGCATTTCACCTATTTTACACCTGGATGCGTTACAGCGTGAGAGTCAACAGCAAAAAGCCGGATTTGTTTTTTATTTTGAATTTTAATTGACAGGCAAGGATCAGTTAGTTAACTCGATTTCCACAGACCATGTCATTAATGATAAAATCTAGTCTATTATATTAATGTTAGAATCACTAAACTAAATGTATCACTATTTAATTATATGGGATTTAACATCATTTATTCCCCCATAAATGATATCACACACAATGGTGGGTAGTTTTCCCATACAATTATTTCGATAGGTTCATATATTTCGCTCCACACCAGTGATTTAATAGTAAATAATTTTAGCGATTTTCTTGACGAACGGATGTGGGATTCATGGCTCTTCTACACATAAACATAATTACTTTAATATTCTATATGTGGGTTGAACATAATATTTATTTATATCTACCAATTGGTAAACATAGAATTAGAATCTTCTATAGCCTAACAATCGATAAAAATGTTCAACTGCAATATTCCAAATAGATTCCACTCTCAAAAGCCTCAGTAGATCAAATTGATATATGCAGTATATTTATAAAATGCTTTCCGGTTCACTGCTTGTTATAGTAATTTTTCATCTGTCAATTACATAGATTTGTTTTTAGTCGTCTTTTCTCTTCCAAATTAAAGATATATTATAGTTCTAAAATAGATAATTTAAAATTAATGTATTGAAATTTCATTCAAATTACTTTATTGTGAGCCATGGTATCAATGTTAGTAGTTTTGGCAAGATGTATATATTGGTTGTGTATTATCATAAAACCATTTTAAAATTAAATGGCCGAACCGTTCTAATCTAGGTAAAATCGAGAATTGATTATGGTCTTAATAATTAGTATAACATTTATGGCCCAAAGAAAGAACTGTTGAATTATAGACATTGTGCGCTAAACTGATCCAAATTGCCCATAATTATTTAGTGTGCTACGTTTCTCCTGCTCTTGCTTGTAGGACGTTAAACCCAATTTCCTTTCATTTTCATTTCCTGCTCTTACTATTACACCTACATACTGTGGCCATTGTTAAATGAAATGGGTGCCAAGGGTTCTTTTATGTTCACGTCATTCCCCCCCCCCCCATCCTAACGACAATACTTTGTCCATTGCCATTCCATTTTCCTGCACTACTGACAAGGGGAACCATGCCAGAAAATCCAGATGAACTTTCTCGGCCAAAAACAGAATCGAACGCTGGACCTCCTGGTTAGCGAACCAACGACTTACTCAGCGAGCCACCGTGACCCCAACCATTGATAAACCTACCTATATACGGAAAACAAATCAGCTGTCTGATCGGATATTGAGGCAGTTTTTTGCACACACACACACGATCTGTTGTCTTTTCGAGCTGCTAGTTTCATGATATATCATTCATTTCTCTTAGCTTTTGCTAACATGTCGATAGATTACGGAAAATAGAAAAAGATGATTCAGACATATAAATTATTATTTTTCATACCAAAATTGTCTGCAGGTCTTTAAAAAGGTTCGTAAAAAGCCCCACAATATTCGACCTGAAAAGCGCAGATAAATATAATAGAAGCTAGACATTTGCAAGCACGCAATCTGTTTAAATGTTTATGAAAGGAAATTATATGATCATGTGTTCTAGATTTAGTAACAAACCCGACAGCAGCATTCTGTGCACTTAAAATGGGTTGATGAATTGCTAAGTTATGAAACAATGTCACTTTTTGAAGGACACAATCAATGAGTTCGAACTCCTGATCGCATTTGTTAACATAGCTAAAATTCGCATATTACGACATAACCTGGTTGCTTTATCGCATGAAATAGTTGGTATAATATTTAGGGATCTCAATTTGAACGAAAAATGATCTCTAGAATGCACAAATGATCGTTTATAACGGGATCCCTCATTTCGTTTTATTGTTGTTGTCACCCAGACATTACGTCTTGAAAATAGTTTTTGTTGATGACACACGGGATTCACATTTTTGAAATATAGACCAAATTTGTAACTCTTGATCATGATGCGGAATCGATGTAAAATTAAATTATTATCTTAAACATACATTATGCAAGAACTAAATCTGCCTATTGCAGGTCCTCCTTTAGACCTGAAATGTTATCTAAATTATAAATTAGACATTAATTAACTTATCCAGACCATAATCAACTCTCGATGTCATCGCTAGCCTGGATTAGGTTCCAGTTTCCTGTTCGACTAAAATCTCTTTTCAGAGTGGACCAATTTGACTGAAATTTTCAGCAAATTCCCTTTACATTATCTAGTTGTTAACTATTATAGTAAGAACTGCCAGCTCTTTATCTAATCTCCCATAATGTATCTTTAAAATGCTATCTTCTCAATTTGTAAGTAAAAATACAAGTACTATATTGCAGACTATCCATAAGGCCTACAAACATCATTAAGCGAACGAAGATCACACTTCATTCTTAATTGAAATGAAAAGGGAAGTCGATGAGGTGTGTTTGATGTCTCCACTTAAATAAAACACGCAATAAAAGATTTATTTCTCTTTTATGATTTTTCTTCGTTTTATGTTCTCCTAGGTTTTGTCACTTCTATTAGCTAGTAATTATCTTGACAAAATTTTATTCATTTAATTTAGCTATTTGGTGTCCGGCTATTCAATCTGTTACAAGTAGAAGATTACGTCCCTATTCATGCTCACGTCGTACCGCTCCAATTTATGGATATTGCGATTTGCTTGGAATTTTCACCAGTCTAA